GGGGGGGGGGGGGGGAGATTTCTTTGTCTGCAAACTTAAAAAAAAAAATTGAAAAACTAACAAGAGATATCTTCCAGATTGTTCGGAAGACTCTTTTACTCAAGTTAGTGGCAGAAACCTCTTGGTTTGAGATGACAGAGGTATCTCCTTGCATTATGCTTTAGGTGGTATAGACTAAATTGGGTGTTGCAAGTGCCTCATTACAACAATAGATTGTGAATGGCCGGTCCAGGTGAAGAAAAGGAAAGGTTCGGCTGACATTGATAAGCAAGTAATGTTTATGTAGGACATAATTAATCACGGACGGAGGAGTTTCATGACTTATAAGGTAGTGTCTAAGTATGGCTGTCAATTTAGGTTAAACATTCCATGCCCTGTGAAATTTAGCCTTAGTGGTTAGTAACTCAACCCCTTACCAGTTAATTGTTAAGTTCTGCAGGTCGGACCTAGACAAATAACATAATAATTAATACATGACGAAGATACTTAAATACAAGGCCCATGTGCTACTGTATTAGGATAATATCTTAAATGCTTTCACCGTAGCAAGTAAAAGCAGTTTGAAGCTGTAGAAAGAAAGCTTATAAAGGTTGTTGAAAGTGAATGGGTCAAAATCTGACCACCAGATGGTTATCATTAAAGGAGACGATAACAGGTCGACCCGCTATGGTCGTGCCCACGAGGTGTAATGGCGACGGGCACCACGGTTCTGCCGGGGTCGAGCCGTTAGAAAGCTTATATCGCAGGACACGCGTAATGTTTTGGGCAAGTGATAAAGAAATTAGTCATCGAGAAAGCACGCCGGACAAAGTCCGTTGGATAAAAGGAAAATTGTTAGTATATATAAGAGAGGCAGGAGATCATAACGGGGGATCCCACCCCCCTCCTTCCCCATTTCTCTTTGGAACTTATAGATAGTAAGTGCAAACATTAATAGAGGGGTCCCAAGGGTTGGCAGTACAAAAATTAATGAAAAGTGAGAGGACTCTGAACCAATAGTCTACTCATCCAAAAGAGTGTATGATTCTCATGATAAGTCAGCTACTGTTATTACTTTTTCTTCTGAATCCAAACAAGGAGTCAATTTCCTTTAGTGCATCTTGATTAATTTCCACAATTTATTTCAGGGTGCAAAGTTAACCAATGCAAATCTGAAGGGTGCAAACCTTCAAAGAGCTTATCTTCGACATGTGAATCTTCGTGATACGGTAAGTCACTACCACTGAGAATCAAAGAGCTTCTTGATTTCTTCTGTATGTTTCATTTAATCCTCATTTAGGTTGGTTTTATGATGCATGGATGTAGGAATTTTTTTTGGGGAGGGTTGGGGGAGAGG